ATCAAGTAATTTTTTCATTAGTTCATATTTTTTCATTAGTTTTCATTTTTCATATGAGGGATGCTGACAACTTATCAGCTCAACCACTTCCCCAGATATGACCAATGAGAATGTTTCTTTTGTTTTTTTGAAGGGCTTCATTTGTGATCAGGCATAAACCTTTTCAACAACTGCCTCTTTAACATCTATATTTCTGCAAATTGTAACTATTTACATGACTGAGTGGATAAAAGTGTTGGTTGAATTAATCCAGTGACTTGACCCAGAGAGTTGTGAGTTCAATACCAAACCACAGCAGAGGTGAACAAAAACTTAGAGATTTGAGCTACTAAAGAGAAATAACTAAAACTGAGATATCCAGGGAAGGTATGGCACGTGGACAAAGAAAAATTTACCCCTGTGGACTAAATAAAGAGTTCGGTTTGAAATTCCAGAGTATATCACCTGAAGAAAACCAGAGTGTACAATGGCCGAAACATCATGAATATGACAATAAAGATGATGACAACAGTCTGAACGATGTAAATAGTGCAAATAACTGCTCCTTCATATGTTCTCTCTCTCTCTCACATAAATATACTATGGAAATTTTGTTCTCTGCTGACTTCCTATACAATAGTCTCGCCTTTGTAATCGTTGACTCCAGAAATAAGCAATTCTCACGTTTTACTTAATGATCTCAAAGCAGTAGTGATGATGCCAATTTGGATATGTCAAATGGAAGCTGTAAAATGTTTCTTTTATGTGAAAGTTATTGACTTCCGAAATTAATTCTATGCTGAGGTTTCTAAGGTCTATGGTAATAAATCTGTTTGTCACAATATTTATTGCAGTATACACAATGTCATGAAGTCAATGTATTCACAATAAAATTGTTACTGACTAACAGATATTAAATTTTTCTGGATATAAATATTTATTGGATAATATACCATGTTCAGTACTGTTTTAATGTTGCTTTGTTAATTGTGCAAAACATTTTAGTTGAGATGTTTTTCTGGTATTATTATTATTATGTTTATTGAATATCATATCCTTCTTCAATATTTAACAACTTGAGGCGGATAAATGCACCCAGTCAACTTCAGCTTGATATTATGTTTTTATTACAAATATTTACAATAAATTATTTGATGTGAGATTTTATAATACAACTCAAGGGTTGTTTATTATATTCAGGGCCAGTCTTAAGGTTGTTGTCACCCCAGGCAAGCTGAATTTTGGCACCCTTAAAAGTATAATTTTAAAAAATTTTCACAAGGAGAAAAACTGAAAATGTAGAATAATGAGTTTATTACAATATACAACTTAATTATACAAGCTAAAGAAAACATTCATTATCCAACCTAAAACGTTTTTTCTAGCCTTTAGATCTGCAAATCTTTTCATGGTACTCTCTATACTTATCTTCTTTACAAGATGATTTTCTATTGAGAAAATAGCCAAAGAATTAATCTGACTTGAGTCATGGATGATCACAAGTGTTTTTATAAGCTTTAGTTTACTAAAGCTTCTCTCTCTGGTATTTAAGATCAGAAAATATATTTTTAGATTGTAAGAATTTTTTTGCAGATAATAATGATTTTCTGATACAAGTCATTTAAGTCATAGTTGGGAGGAGTGAGAAGTGGTTTCATACATTTCCCAGTGGTATGTTAATAGAATGAACTCGCCTGGTATTTGAACTTGAACCTCCAATTTCAAATTCTGAACCAGTATCCATTACACCGCCTGTACATCCAAGCTTACAGCATTTGGTATTCCCAAGCAATCAAACATCTAAGTAATGATCAGACTCAACGTTCAGTGATCGTACAAAAACTGGTGTTTCAACGTGAGCCTGAAAACTGATTTTGAAACTAATTTTTAGTGATAAATAACAAGCTACATTTGATGGATCTAATAGTTGGGCTAGAAATTGGGTTCTTTATGAAAATAGTCAACCAATCCAACTTAGAAGAGAACAAAGGACAGGTAGCAATGTTTTTCGGTTATTACTGTAGGCAGTGAAAAAATAGCTCTTGTCAAAGTTGATGGATGGGAAATGTATGAAACCACTTCTCATTCCCCCCAAATATGACTTAAATGACTTGTATCAGAAAATCATTATTATCTGCAAAAAAATTCTTACAATCTAAAAATATATTTTCTGATCTTAAATACCAGAGGGAGAAGCTTTAGTAAACTAAAGCTTATAAAAATACTTGTGATCATCCATGACTCAAGACAGATTAATTCTTTGGCTATTTTCTCAATAGAAAATCATCTTGTAAAGAAGATAGGTGCAGAGAATTATTTTAAGTTCTTGAACAAATTATTTTTTGTGTGGTACAAGTTTCAACCAAAAAGCTTTAAGCTAAAGAGTAAAGTTTATGCAAGATGAGCATCTTCATATTCTACAAAGATGATTATTACTCACCTTGGAAGAAAAAAATTTTTTTCATTAAAATATTTAAATGGAAAAAGAAATCACCAAGCTTCTCTCAATGGAATGAAAAAAATTAAAATTATTTTTCCTTTCATTGATTCTTAATTCTGTTATTACTAAGTGTAAATTAGCAATAGAAAAAAAGATAGAGAAATAGTAGTCAAATATTAATAATTAACAATTCTTCATATGAAAAATTCCGACAAAAATTTGTCATTTGTTTTTTTAAATAAAAAAAAAAAAATTCCTGAGTTTAGAAAGGATAAATACCAAAATTAAATATTAACAGAGCAAAAATTACTTTTAAAATAATTTAATAAAATGGCCTTTTCTATTTCTTATTAAAGTTGATCAGGTTTTATTTGTTTTTTAAATATGCTGTTAGGTTGGTGCAAAAATAATGACGTAATAATGTCGTTTTTTGACATTAAAAAATATGTCACAAAACGACATTATTACGTCATTATTTTTGCCCCAACCTAATACATTAAAGGTTTGTTTGCACAGTTTTCCTAAAAAGTAGAACCACATTATCAAGTCAAAATATTGTGTTACAAACGAAGTTCCCAACAAAATTTTTTATATATACCATTATAAATTTTGATTTATACATTTATTTATATGTAAGTAAATGTAATATCTTTTGATTTATTATTTTCATCATTTCAAAGTTTCCAAAAATGGAACAGCAAATAACGTACATTGTTGCTGTATAATTACAAGTTTGGTCTAAATGCTGGCCAATCAAAACCTCATATCAAGAAATAATTGGTTGTCAAACAACCTACAATTGTTTTGGTATGACCAATTTGATCTCCAAGATCAGTCAAGAAGTGGTCAACCCTCATGCAATGACCATGTTTGCACTTATGTTGAAGCTGATCCATACCTGACAACACACAAGCTGGCTGAGAAGTTTGATGTTAGTCATACAGCCATTTTGCATCACTTAGAGGAAATTGGACATATGAGTCCCAAATTTGGCCCTCAACACCACATGGTGCATGACACTACTGTTCAAGAAGCACCGTTTTAATTGGTTGAACAAAGTAGTTACTGCAGATGAAAAATGGTGCCTGTACTTGAATGTGATATGCAAATGGAGCTGGACAGACAAGGGTGCAACTGCACAACCTCAAAGTTGGATGTCAATCAAAAGAAATTCATGGTTTTGTGCAATCAGTGCATCAATGCTCAACAACTGCAACATGTGGCTAATGCAATTGCACAAAAATGTCAAGAATTGACTGATGTCATGTTCCTTCATCATAACACCCAACTAGAAGTTGCAAAGCTCACTTACCATCTACTCCGGGTACTGCAGAACTATTTGAATGGTAAAACGTTGGCAACAGCAACTGATGATGAACTGAAAACTTCAGTTGGTGACTTCTTTGATAGCAAGCCAGCTGAATTTTACAAGGGTATCCATGACCTACCCTGTCATTGGAAGTAGGTGATCAAAAATAATGTTGATTATACTGATGCAGGGGTTCCCAAACGGTGCAGTGTGCATCATAAGTGCAGCAAAAGAAGATTGCAGGTGAGGCAGAATGATTTAAAGACAAAAATTTAGAAACAGTTTCAAAAAATTCAAATGCCAAAAATAAAATTTCAAAATTGAAAATATTATTATGGATTAATTGTAATTGCATGCATGATTCTTAGTATAGTTATAAATAATTAATGACCGATTTTATCAGTGATATTTTTGCATTATATCAAGTATTAAGAATATAGGAACAGCAAGTTGGAAGAGAGAATTAACAATGAAAGTGTTATCACTTTAAACCTGCAGTTATCTCCCTTTAATTCCTTTTTTTTTTTTTTAAATGTACTTTTTATTCCATAAAATTTGGGGAGTGGGTGAGCAAATTTTCATTCTGAAAATGTGGCCCAGAGAAAAGGAAGTTTGGGAAGAACTGTACTAATGTTTGCTATATGCCTTTTACAGCAATGTATCATTGTATATTGTTAGTTAAAAGGTGCATGAGAACTTTGTTTCCAACTCAATAAAATCAACGCAAAAAAAAAAAAAAATAAATAAATAAAATAAAATGCTGGTACAAGTTGTTTGAAAATTTAATTATAGAAACTGCAAAATCTCTCCACAAGATTTAATTTCTTTTTATAAATTGGGCATCAGTCTTCAAAAGACAAAATGGAGAATAGTTTCTATTCTTATTAACTAAGAAAAGAAAATGTCAAATGAAATTAGCTGCCTTACCTTCGAGTGCAACAAATATGGACAATTACAACAGAACAAAAACTTATAAATATTCTAAAAATTAATGCCTTTTAGAAATGTAACGAACTCGTACCTGAGCAGTTTTGTAAATTATAAAACAAATATGCAAGGCACATTTTATGTGTTGGCTTAGATTTATTTCTAACCTCGTATAATGAAAAACAAAAACTGAAGAATATTATAAAATTTATAATACCTTCTTGCCAGAATGATAATTTACAAACATGGATATTTATTTTTCACTTGTTTGTATTCAAAATATTTTCCATTTCTGTATTATTTTGAATTTATCACAGACTTTTTCACTCTTTTTGAAAACTTGTTTCAATTGAACGGAATGTTTACACGAACGGGAATCTTTAAAAACTGTTCTTCAGCATCTTCTGGAATTTCACAGTTCCATTTCAGAAGGTAAATGTTGTGGTTTTTGAGACAGGCTCCAAGGACAACCCCTGTTGGTGGATCACTGGTAAATCCATCAAGCCAATCTGTAGGACCTACAGTCACAGACGTGCCACCAGAAGTAGGC